TTTTTTTTTTTGATTCTTAAAACTCATTTGCCTGCGGGCGCCCATGAGTGGTCGGAAATACAAATTTAGGCGGACAAAATTATTTTATTAACAATATGTGTTCCTAATGTTATTGAATTTTAATTTTAATTATTGTAAAATTTCAAATATGATGAAAACGCACTAAAATGAAAGAAAATGTATTTTTATTTTTATAAAAACCATACAGAGTTATAATAATTTTGATTTTCTGAATATTCTACAATATTTCATTCGGAATCATCGTCTTTGTCACTGTCACTGTCAGAGTCACTATTTTTATCTCCCTCAACAATTAGTAATGCCCTAATATCTTCATCGAATGATTTTAAGTTCATTTTCGATGTTTTTTTTAAACTTGAAATGTAGGGATCTGATGATACAAGTAGCATATGGCCTAAATCTTCATTTTGTAAGATTCTGTTTATTTGCCTAGTACTATTTTGTCTGATGTTCCTGAAATCTTTATTTCGGGCCTCTTGAGCCTCTTTCGATAACTGGCCTGTAAAATAAACATGTTCGTTGTTATTTAACTATATTATATTATAATATTATTATAACCATATTAAATTTTAAATATTATGAAAACTTACCTATGGGTAATAAGGCAGAACGTATAACATCCGTACCATGAATTAAAATTTTGTGAACCGAAGCAGGCATATAATACCACGGGTACAGTGAAACATAAAGTTCCGCAGTCTCTAAAGTATAGGCCTCAAACTTTTCTAAATTTATCTCATAACCACTGGACATTGTCTTTAAAATCACTCCAAATCGTTTTATGAGTTGTAAATCTACATTTGTTATAGCGGATGTTAGTTCAGCATTTTTGAAAAATCTACGAGCAGTATTTCCATCATTAGTTGTTCCTTTGCCTATATAATAAAAACACAATTTTATTTAAATTTGTTTAAATTTATTGATTAAATGTATAACCTAAAATAAATACCTTGCAAGACTACATCTATAAGTAGATCTGTTTCAGTTCGAAATCGATCTTGAATGTATTTCTTTCTTTTTTCAAAAATAACTTTATCATCAGATGTCCGAACCTGTATCAACAAATAAGAAAGTTGGAAGTTATTGAACATATTTTTTATAAATTATAGTAAAAAGTCATTACTCATTGTACTAACCTGCCATTTTTTGAACTCCAATCTATATGAAATGTGTATTAAGCATTCAAAAAATCGTATGTACGCATGAAGCGTTTAGAGTCCAAATTTGAAATGCTCAGGCTGTACACTTAAATTTTTCGCCCTGGTTATATCATTCATGTCTTTTGGAGAACACTTACAAATATAGCACTTTTGGCTTGATGAACCAGTCATTGTATTGCAAACCTAAAATTAAGTTTAAAAATAAATTTTTCATTTTGGTAATATTACCATCTTTATTCATTGACTTATTTGAAATTTAAAATATTATATTTAATAATTGTGATACAACTTTGTGAAACTTACTTTTCCGTCTACCATAGTGAACATTAATGTGCTTTTAACACGAATTTCAATATTATTTTTTAAAACTAAAGTTGGAATCAATGACTTAATTTCTTCTTCGACAGCATTTACCTCTTCTAATGTCGACTCAATAGTTTCCTTTTTATATTCAATAATTTTATTGGACGACAGTAACGAGTTGAAGATGGACGAGGATTTTTCCATAACAATATCGTTTTAGGATTGTTAATCTTTGTACACCTTAGCTGTAATGGCACTAGTGAAAACATAAAATTATCGGAATCATTGAAATTACTAGACGTAATTTGCTTGTAACGAGCTTGACTACTGCTTCCATCACATCCCCATTTACATAATATTTCAAAGTTGTTCATCGTTAAATCTACAGGTGGTATATCAGAAATTAAAAATAATCTTGTTATTGTATGATCAAGGAGGTGTTGTAATTCAATTTTAAAATAAGATTCTGTAACATGAATATTTTCCGGATAGCATTTTTTTTTTGCTGTTAAAACATTATCATAACTCGGGTATATATTTGCTCTGCGTTCCTTAGCAGATTTCCGAATATTTATATATTGTTGTTTTGTGAGTTTGTTTTCAATGAAAAATGCCAATGCTTCGTCAAAAGAATATGGCATGATGGCATTATCAATTGATAGTGAAGCCATGTATGATTTTTTAATTTTTGATGCTCGAGTTGGAGAGGACAGTGATTCGTTGACTATACTACAAGCTGCTCTTTTTCCTGACATGTGTAATTTGTTTTTGGCGGCAAATAATATTTCTGGAGAAGTATACGATTTCGTGAGTTGTTGAATTTTACGTCTTTTATTTCGATCAGAACAATCAGGAAACAATTTTTGAGGTCTGCCGACATTTAATGATGATGGTGGTGATCGAGGAGGTAATACAAATAGTTTTTTTAGCCAATCTACATTTGATTCCTTAAATCTAATTATATTTCGTGAACTTTTTATCCAAAGTTTGCTTAAAACGGCTGTGAAATTAGAAATTGTTGATTTAATTTTGTTTTCGTATTCTTCTTCCCAATTGTCAGCATTATATTTTTGTTTAATATATTGTAGTAAATATCGGTTAGATACCACACTTCTTGGATTCAAAGGCCCCTTTGTTCTTAAGAATACAAACAAATCATTGTATACGATTTTTTTATTTTCATCAATAACTGAAATGTGAAAATAATAATTGCTAAACAAACAAAATTTAAAGGAAAATAACAGATATGCTAATCACAGACGCAACTCGACGCAGTTAAAAATTATGTCATTGAAAAGCTAAAGAGTTTTTGAATAATACCTATATATTTTTATATGATCATTTTAGATCTCTTCTTATATAATATCTATCAAAATGTAAAACCACTACTAAAAAAAATGTTTAATAGTGATGCAATACATATACACCATGTATTTATTAGAATAATATGTATGAATTGAAATTAAACTTACCATTTGTATTGATGTCCATTTTAAAATAATAATTAAACTTTTATAATATTGAACAAATACTCTGAACACAATCGACGAAGAAATGAAGTAAAATTCTTAATCAACCGTAAATATTGTACATTTGGTCTCTAATCGTTTTACAGTTATCGCGTTTTTAAGTGGTTATTGTCGTTATAATAACCTAGAGTTTATTAAATTGTGTTATATTTATTATACTGATATAATATTAAGTGCTAAATATCTCATTTTTATCTTTTTTTTTTT